AAAAAAAAAAAAAACGAGTAAAGGGAAAAATGATATTTTGGAGGGCGGTAAGTAGTAATAGGGGGGGATTCTATTGTAAGGCTTGACTTTTTGTTATTGTGGCTAAATGGCCTAATTTTTAACCTTTTCATTTGAATATTTCAATTTTATGTTACTCTCAGTATAAGACCTACTTTTACATTCTACTTTTCAATTTAAGACTCCAAATCACTTTGTATTTTGATATAATTATGTAAACAACAATACTTTTTTTTTTCAAAAAAATATTAATTTTTAAGTACTTACAATGAAAAGTATTAAATATCTTTAATAAAATTATCTAATAAGATAATTATTTCATAATTTACATTTAAGCAAAAGCTTATTGAAATTTATTTTGAACGTTTAAAATTAATTTTAACTTAATTTTAATAAAAAATGAGATAATATTAAAATAAAAGCTAGATAGTTTTATTTTTTTAAATAAACTTATAGAAAAAAAATAAAACTACTATAATAGAATTTTCCAGGTATTATTTTTATATATTTTTAACTTTTTCTATACTATAAATTTTATTCACAAGTAATATTTCCTAATGGGGGGATCTCTTGCAAGGCTTGACTTTTTGTTATTGTGTCACAATAAAGCCTAAATGGCCTAAATTTTTAACCTTTTCATTTAAAGATTTCAATTTTAAGTTACTCTCATTATAAGACCTACTTTTACATTGTACTTTTCAATTTAAGACTCCAAATCACTTTGTATTTTGATATAATTATGTAAACAACAATGCTTTTTTTTTACATTTAATTTTTAAGTACTTATAACGAAAAATATTAAATATCTTTAATAAAATTATCTAATAAGATAATTATTTCATAATTTGCATTTATGCAAAAGCTTATTGAAATTTATTTTGAGAGTTTAAAATTAATTCTAACTTAATTTTAATAAAAAATGAGATAATATTAAAATATAAACTATTTAGAAAAATAGTTTTATCTTTTAAATAAACTTATAGAAAAAAATTATTTGTGAATAAAACTACTACAATATAATTATCCAGGTATTAATTTTATATATTTTTAACTCTCTTAAAAATATAAATTTTATTCACAAATAATGTTTCTATAAGGTTATTCAAAAAATTAATTTTCTAAATAGTTTATATTTTAATGTTGTCACATATTTAGATTAAAATTAAGTTAAAATTTATTTTTTAACTTTTCAAATAAATTCATTAAGCTTTTTGCATAAATGTAAATTATGAAATATTTATTCTATCGAATAATTTTATTAAAAATATTTAATATTTTTCATTGTAAGTACTTAGAAAAGTAAATTTTAAAAATTATTGTTGTTTACATAATTATATCAAAATACAAAGTGATTTGGAGTCTTAAATTGAAAAATAGAAAGTAAAAGTAGGCATTATATTAAGAATAACTTAACATTTAAGCCTTCAAATGAAAAAGTTATATGAGTAACCCTATGGCATAGATATAAAGCCCTAGTACTTGAACTGTAATTAAAAGTGTAGGGCGAGGCTAAGGTACCGTAGTGGGATGGTTCCCTCATTTTAACATAAGCTCTTCGATCATATAGATTGATTTAGACCCTTTGATTTGGACAAAGAACATATTTATATCCTGGGTATTAATACAGACAAGTTTTTCTTTTTGTAAATGCAGTCAACGCCAACAAGAGGTCACTCGTCGTCACCGTTTCACCCTCTTCAAACTCAAAAACTCTTCGGAATTTTTTTTTTTAAAAAAAGAAAGAAGAAAAACCCCACGACCGATCGATTCTGTCCGAAAGAGAGAAAAAAAACTCAAGCTTTCTGGCTTATCTTCAAACCACGATCATGTCCACTCCACCCACTATGGCCGTAATTCTTTTTCCTTTTAACAACTGGTTCATTATTCTCCAAGCTACTAGTCTCAACATTGAAGTTCGGAGATCAGGAACAACAAAGGTAATCTTGAATCTCATTGTAGTTTTGATGTGGGATATAGTATTCCTAGCTCTCGAGTCCATGCATTAGGTCAGTTGAGTCGACCAGGTGGATAGATCGACCAGATGGATAGATCGACCAGGCGGATAGATCGACCAGGCGGATAGATCGACCAAGCAGATAGATCGACCTCCAGACCTGGTAGAAGGAGCACTGCAGGGGCACAATAGGAAGTTGCATTAAGTCAAGGAGTGGCGTATAACTGTCCCTAGCATGTTGGAGACGTGGCTTAGGCGGTTAAGGCACGTCTCTCATATATATAGAAGGAGTAAGGTCTTGAAAGAGGTACGAGAAAATTTCTAATAAGATTCTTAAAGAACACTTTCTGAAAAAAGGACTGACTTAAGCATCGGAGGGCCAAGTCGGAGAATCATTCTCTCCGGTCTAGGCTTTTTTGTAGGTATCCAAAGCAACCAACCGGTTTGCGGGACGAGATCTCAAATAACCCAATCGGTTCGAGGTAAGAGTCTCTTATCATTTTGGCGCCGTCTGTGGGGACAAGATCAAAAAGTTTTTGTTCTGCGAAATCTAGATCTACGACGAATGGAATCCCAAGGAAAAATTTGCAGTCATCATTTGACAACGAGTGGGTGGAGACAAGGCCAATAGGGGAAGCCCACCGTCGGGTTTTGCTGGAACATCGCAAACACCGAGAAGTTGGCCGACTGTGACTCAAGGTGGAGGAAATCCAGCAATTGTAACTCAAGGTGAAGGAAATCCGACAACTGTAACTCAAGGTGGAGGAAATCCGGCAACCGTGACTCAAGGTGAAGAAAATCCAGCAACTATAACTCAAGATGGAGGAAATCCAGCGACTGTAACCCAAGGTAGAGGAAATCCGGCAACTTCAAACCCAGGCAGAGGGGGTCCGGTACTGTTTCCAGCAAATAGAGAGCAAGATAGGGTGGTCGAACTACTACTTCAATCAAACCGGGTAGTAGTGCAAAATGGAGGAGCTGGAGCACAGACTGTACCACCACTGTTGGCGGAGCGACCTCCGGGACAACAAGTAGTGACTTTGACCAGAGAGCAGCTGGAACAAATGATAGCCAATGCTACTGCTCGAGTGGTGCGGCAGGTAACAGCTAGCCAATCTCAAGCAACAGCTGCCCCGACAACAATGAGTGAAGCCAATGAGGAGAATACGTCTAGCCGTAGAGAAGCGCCTCCTCACGGAGGGGAAATAGAGAGACTGGTCGAGCAAGTGAGACAATTGCAAGAAAGGGTTAATGGTCGGCCATCTGGTCGAGTTAGGGGACATCCTTTTTCAACCCGAATCTTGGATACACCACTACCAGGGAATTTCAAGAAAACTCATTTGGTGTTTGATGGAACAACAGACCCGTCGTGGTATGTTCGAACTTTTGAGAACATGGAAGTTCTACACGGATACTCAGAGGCTGTGAGTTGTAGGGCATTCTTGTCGACCCTAAGGGGAAGAGCCTTGGATTGGTTCAACCAACTTCCCCCAGGGTCGATCAAATATTTCGAGGATTTCACGGGGAAGTTACTGAATCAATACTCCAGTTCTGTATCTCAAGAAAAGACCTATCTTACTTTGATGGCGATGAGGCAAGGAGAGCGTGAGTCGCTCCGCAAGTACGTGGCTAGGTATAACCAAACATGCTTAGAAATACCTTCGGCATCAGACGAGGTAAAAGCAGGAGGGTTAAT